GGCACTCCATCCACATGTCATACAATTCAGTACTTCAGTCATACCCAGAAGAGGTGTACAGTTATCACCATATTCAATTCTAGAACATTTTCTTCTTCCTTGTAGTCGTTGATACTCCTGTAATTATTTTTTTTCTAATTGTGGCAAGAATATACACAAGAGAACATTCTCCAGTTCCACAGCCTCTACTTGTGTAATTCAGTTTCATTTGTTTGCTTTTTTATAGTTAGCAATATGTACTAACTATGATGCTGTGGCACATTATTTGTGGCGCATTATTGTTCTCATGCTAACCCCCAAAGACCAAGATCAGACTGATGAAGACACTGGTAACAGAAGGCAGTAATAATGAAAACTAAAGAAATGAAATGAAGTGTGTGACTTCACATCAGGACTGTCTGATGAGTCATCGGCTCTGAACCCCGCAAGTCAGGGCTTCTCTGGAGGGTTTTTGGCAGTCCACGGTGCTCGCAGTCTTCACCAGCACCGGGATGCAAACACGTGGATTCTTCTTCAGGTTTTCTTCCTCAGAGCCCAACTTCCACATGCACAGGAGGCAGAGGAAAGCACCATGGCTTGGTCAGTAAGCAAAGTGTTTAGTGGGTTGCATGATGGAGCCTCAGCATCGGAAGATTAAAGTCGAGTGGAGAAAGGGCCAGGTTTGTGCCGTGGAGAGCTGGGCCAGGTGTTTCCATGCACTGTCTCCTCCACCATCACGTTGCCCTGGTGCTATGCCAAGAGAGGCACACAGGACTTGGTGGTCTGTCCAAGGTCACAGAACTCATCACCAGGGGAATAGGGCGCCAAACCCAGACCCACGTTGATGTTCCTGCTGCCCCTGAGATGGTCAGTGGGGCCTTGGTGTCGGGGACATCCTGTTGAGAATGCCGTAGTATGTGGCACAGTGAGCCTTCAGGTCAGAGTGTAAGAGCTGGGGTGCGTCTTCAAGGCTGTCTAGAACAGTGCCCCCATTTTACAGCCTGAACACAAGCTACCTGCCTCAGTGTACCCCAGTGGGAATGCCAGAACTGGGCATGGGCCCCGAGGATGGACAACTTTCAGGGTGACCTTACTTTGGCTTATTGATCCTAGTGGTCACTCATTGATGAGAGAGGTGGCCCTGATGTTCTGGTCTCATTCATTCTGGCAGGACTCTGCTTGGAGGGTGGAGAGGAAGGTGACAGAAAGGTGGCAGGAGCTGGCCTTGGAAAGCTCGTGGTGGTCAGTGTTTATGTCTCTGTGTGCACTTGACTCTGTGTTACGTGGTTTCTTGGAGGGAGGAAGCAGCCCACTGGGATGCTAAGCCCGGAAGGCACGCTTTACTAAAATGTACGTAGCTCAGTCAGGCTGCCACAGCAGAAGGGAAGCAGCGAGAACGAGCCTGGGCTGTGAGCAGTGGGGAGGTAGAGGGGAGCCGTGAGGCGGGAGAGTGACATTGGATTTGTGGTTCCAGAAGATAACTGAGGCCAGCGGAAAGATGATTGAAAGGCAGGCCAGGGCAGTAGGGGAGAATTGCTAAGGCGCATACAAGCCACAGATAAAAGAGCTGTGGGGCAAATATGGAAGAGGGCCAAAGGGCATAATGTGTGGGCAAGATGTGGGGCGTGGCATGGTGGGAGGACCTGAGGTTTCCAGCTTTAGGGTAGCAGGTAAAGGCGGAAGCTGGGGTGAGGCTGGCTGTAGGCCTGAGGACTGTGGGCTTTGAGCAGAACAGACTGGTGAATACTTGAGTCCAGAGCCGGGGGAGAGAATGGGGCTGAATTCCCGCTTCCTACATAGGTAGGTTGCCAAGGGGAAGATGTGGTCTTAGCGACTGGACAGGACAGAGTCTCTGGGTGAAGTAGTCTTGCTAAAGTCTCCCCACAAATGCCATCTTGGAGGAGACAGCCCAGACTCCCCGTGAAGACCTCATGCCCTGTCTGCGCCCACAGCACGTTGGATTCCTGAGTGTCTCCAGCCTTGCTTCTACGGCTGGTCTTGTGCATTCTCCTGGTAGCCCACAGGACCTCTGTGGTCCTCTTGCAGATAGCCAGACCAGTGGTTCTCAACCTATGGGTCGTGACCCCTTTTGGGGTCGAACGACCCTTTCACAGGGGTCGCTCAATTCATAACAGTAGCAAAATTACAGTTATGAAGTATCAGCGAAAATGATTTTATGGTTGGGGAGTCAGCACAACATGAGGAACTGTATTAAAGGGTCACGGCATTAGGAAGGTTGAGAACCACTGATCTAGACCAACACTGGGCAAGCTGTTCTGGAAAGGAGCAGAGGGTAAATACCCAGGTCTGTGGGGCTCTGCCTGGCAGTGACCCAGCTGTGCCTTTGTAAGGGGTAGGCAGGTGATGCTGCTGCTGTAAGGGCCAGTGAGTCTGCTCCAACTCCCAGCCACCCCTCTTACCATGCAACGAGACACTGCCTCATCCCCCACTTCTGAGCCTATTGTTGCAGCCACTGTGTTGATCCATCTCATTGAAAGTCTTCCTCTTTTTTGATGACCTTCCCTGACCTTCCCTTTGCCAAACACGATGTCCTTCTCTAGGGACTGGCCTCTCCCAATAATAAGCCTATCATATGCGAGACAGTCTCATAATCCCCATTTCTAAGGAGCACGCTAAAGACAAGTTTTGTTTGTTATTCTGGCAGCCCACGGTTTCTTTGATATTCTTTGCTAGCACCACAATTCAAGAATGCGTCCACTCTTGGGGACTAAAAGTGCCACTGAAAGTTCCATGGCTTGTCCGTCTACCGGAGCAGCCCTCAGAGTGACATCTTTACATTCTGACACTTGAAGGTCTTTGCTGCAGATTTGCCCAGTGTGATCTGCTCTCTGATTTCTTGTCTGCTGCTTCTGTGAGTATTGCTTGTGGGTCTCCGAGCAACATGACACCCTTGACACTTTGTCGATTTCTCCTCCGTTCATCATGATGCTGTCGATTGGTCCAGGTGTGAGGATTCAGACACGAGTGCGAGAATGAGCACGGCTGTCCCAGGAGAACGTCATGTACAAAATGGGGAGGGGGTTGTATTTCAGTCGGGGCCGTAGTTTGCTGACCCTTGGGCCAGTTTGTACTCCAGACTTGTTTGTGGACTCCTCGGATGGACAAAACCATGTCGTGTACAGTTCTCACACATACCCCGGGATGATGAGCCGCTGCTCAGGACAGAGGGAGTGTGCACAGAGCACCTGCTTGTCGGTGAGCACTTCAGTCTTCGAGCTGGATGGCACCTGGAGCCAGCACCTGGCTGTCACTCGCAGATAAAGGAGCCTGACCCTTCAGCTGGGAGCCTTGCTTAAGGTCAGCTGCCCACAAGCAGATTGAGGTGGAAATCAACTCGGCCTGCGGATGATCCTAGGCCTGCCAGCGCCACCCGCTTCCTGACAGTAAACGATGTGGTGCCTTCCAGGATCACTTTGTAAGCATGTGGTTACACACTGCCTTCTCCCAGCGGCCCTGCCGGGCAGAGGAGAGCTGCCCCGTGGGGCTTCCTGGGCTGCTGTGGGGACGGACGCAGACGGCCACATCTTCCTTCCTGGGGACTGCCCAGCTTTGGCTTAGTGCCGAGCACTTAACCACTGTGCCACCAGGGCGCCGTAAGGATTTGTTTAGCAAACGAAAAGAGCTATGTCTGAAACAACGGTGATGAAAATCATCACAGGGGCTTGGATGTTGGACTCTCACGTAGAATTGGGTACTGTGCTGAAACACCCACTGCCCGCAAAGAAACTGACACAGCGACAGCTAGGCCCTCCGGGACACTCAGTCTCTATGGCACCAGCCAGCCCCACCTTTCTTCCATGGAGTAGCGGCTGATTCTGGTAAGCAGCTCCCGGTGCCCCCAGAGCTGTGCTCAGCACTGGCAAATTGAGTTCCTGGCACCTGCATAGCAGCCCGGTGGGAGCCGGGGCTGTTCTGACCTTATAGGGACAGGAGGAAGCAGAGGTTGGGGCAGCGTGCGGGCTTGAATGCAAACCAGTGCACAGGAGTTTCTGTAGCCACTCCGCACTTGTCCTGCCCACGTACCGAGAGGTGTGTCCAAGTCCAGTACACTGCCTGTGCGCAGCCTTCACTGCAAGAAGCTCCACAAGGAGTGGGAAGGCTCTACGGTCATTGGTCGACAGTCCACCCTTTCAAGAGGCCGCACATGAACAACTGTTGGTGCTGAAGGAAGAGGTTCAAGCTGCACTGAAGGCATCAGGGAAAAAGAAGGCTCCAGGATTTGACTGAATACCAGTTGAAATGTTTCAGCCAGCTGATGAAGCCCTGGAAGAACCCGGCTCACCCTGTCAGGACATTTTGGAGACGGCCACCTGGCCCACTGACTGGAAGAGACAGGTATTTGTGCCCATTCCAAAGAAAGGTGGCCCAACAGAATGCATAAACTGCCTAGCAGCGTCATTAGCGTCACGTGTAAGTCAAACTTGGCTGAAGATAATTTGAAAATGGTTCCACCAGTGCATCAATAGGGATCTGCCAGAAATGCGAGCTGCAGAGGACGTGGCAGGACGGAGGTCATTGCTGATGCCAGGGAGGTGCTGCTGGCTAAAGTGCTTACCCGTGTTGGATTGACTGTGCCATGGCATTGGCTCTGCATCACAACACAGGATCGGTGACTTTGAAAAGACCAGAACAATTGATTTTGCTCATGCCGAATCCATTGTTCAGAAAGAACAAGAACACTGCATGGTTTAAAATCAGGAAAGGTATGTGTCAGGGTTGTACCCTATCCCCATACTTCTTCCGTCTATAGCCTGAACAAATAATCAAAGCAGCTGGAGGATGTGAAAACGAATGTGGCATCATTGGAGGTAGACTTGTTTTTAGCAACCTGTGGTACGCAGACTTGCTGAAAGTAAGAAGTACTGGGAGCAATTGCTGATGAAGATCAAGATGGCAGCCTTCAGTATGGATTCTGACTCAATGTAAAGAAGACGGAAATCCTCGTAAGTGGACCAGTAGGTCACATCACGATAAACAGAATACAGAAGTTGTCAAGGATTTCACCTTGCTTGGATCCCCAAGCAGTCAAGAGATCAAGAGATACATTTCCTTAGGTAAATCTGCTGCACAAGACTTCTTAACGTGTTGAAAAGCAAGGATGTTGCTTTGAGGATTAAAGTACGACTGATCCAAGCCACGGTATTTCCGATCACCAAGTTGGACATTGAGTAAGGAAGATTGAAGAAGAATTGATACATTTGCATTCTGGTGCTGCTGAAGGATATTGAAAGTACCGTGCACTGTCCGAAGAATGAACACAACAGTCTGTCTCAGAAGTGCAGCCAGAACGCTCCTTTAGAGATGAGGATGCCGAGACTCCGTCTCAAGTAGTGTGAACATGTTCTCCTGGGCTTCCAGAGACAGGTCCCTGGAAAAGGATGATATGTTTGGTAAAGTAGAGGGTCAGCAAAATAGAGGTAGACTCTTTTGAGGTAGACTGGCACAGTGCCGTCAACAGTGGGCTCAAACACAGCAATGAGTGTAAGGGCGGTGCAGGACCGTGCAGTGTTAGGCTCTGTTGTATGTGGGGTCACTATGGGTCAGAACTGACTCAAGGGACCTTGCCACCACAGCAGCATGGACACTTGAGAAGCAAACAGGACCCAGACTGAACACTAACCCAAGGAGCCCTGGTGGTGCAAATGGCTGTGCTCTTGGCTCTGAACTGAAAGGTTGGTCTTTTGAACCCACCAGTGGCTCCCTACTTGCAAAGACCTGGTGATCCCAGAAGGGTGGCGAGCTGGGGCAGATCTGCCTCTGTCGCGGGGGGGTGCTTGTGTCAGTGCGGTCCCCAGCTCACGGCGTTTGCAGCAGCAGGAGGAGGACTTTGGCGAGGGTGAGGATGACACCGAGGTCCAGCTGGAGTGCCTGCACAAGTTCTCCACCCGGGATTATATCATGGAGCCATCCATCTTCAACACGCTGAAGAGGTAGGAGGCACGGGTGTGGGTGGTGGGAGGAAGGTGGGCGCTGGCTCAGGGACTCTCCGTCACGGACCCAGAGGAGAATTGGTCAAAGTGAGAGGACTGTGATGTTGGTGTGGAAGGCACCGGGGGTGGCACTTTAACAGTCTTTGTCACCTGCCGTCCTGCTGGCTGGTCGTGGGGCCAACCTCACGCCCCAGTGCTCCATGTGGCAGCATAGCCGCTCGCTCTCCCTCTGTAGGTATTTCCAGGCCGGAGGGTCTCCTGAGAACGTCATCCAGCTCCTGTCCGAGAACTACACCGCTGTGGCCCAGACTGTGAACCTGCTGGCCGAGTGGCTCATCCAGACAGGTGCGGAGACCATGCCCTTGCTTAGCCCTCCCTCTACCCCACCCCCACTCCCTTTTATTAGACCCTGGGTCATCCCCAGGTAGAAGGAGGTCTTGAGGACAGAGAGCACCTGCCATCTGAGCCCCCTGCCATGTTGGAGGATTCCTGGACCCCAAATGGCCCACTTGATGGGTCCTTCCTGTGCTCTGAAGTCCCAGGCAGTCCATGGGCTGACTTAGTGCAGTGCTCACATCTCCCCTTTACCCACTGTAAGCCCAGTGGGTGGTGCAGATGGCCTTGCTGAGGCTCAGCCTACAGGAAGCCAGGTGTCAGCCTCGCTGCCCTGCGAAGCCGGCTAACCTGTGTTAGATTTGAAGACCCTCCGGGTTTGTCTCAGCTCCCATCCCGACTCCCTGCTCCCGCCTGCTTTGAATGTTTGTGCTCAGTGTGGTGTCGGGAGCTTTTCACTGAAGATACTGAGTAAACACCCATCCGTGAATGGTTTTGTGCCCCGCAAGCCCCCTGTGTGATGTAAGTCTGCTGTCGCCGGGCGGGCTGAGAGACAGCCGTCCTTCCCGCTCTCCTTCAGGTGTGGAGCCTGTGCAGGTTCAGGAGACGGTGGAAAACCACCTGAAGAGTCTACTCATCAAACATTTTGACCCCCGCAAAGCAGATTCCATCTTCACGGAGGAAGGCGAGGTGAGGAATGGGTTCCTGCCTCCAGGGCTGGTCCCCAGAGACAAGAGCTGAACAGAGTCGGCTTGCGCCCACAAGTCACAGCCAGGTGGAGGTGGCCAGCAAGAGCAACAAGCTCCAGGTCCCAGTCCTGTCCCTCGGAGAAACAGGGAGAAGGGGCAGAGAGAGTCTCTACACAGCCGTGAGGGAAAGTGCTGGGGGCTGGCAGAGGCCAGGCCGCTCCCAGGAGATTGGACAGTTGGTGGATCTTGGAGAGGGTCTAGGGCCCATGAGTAGCTCATACACAGGCCCCCGTCATGGGGCTGTGCTACTGGGAGCAGGCTGGCCACAGGCACAGCGTGCCTTGCTGTGGCTGTGGTGGTGCAGAGGTGGAGGTGCAGAGGTGGCGGACGGCCCTGTGCAGCCCTGTGCCTCAGTCACGTGGGGAACTACTTTCATCGCCTTCACTCTTCTGGGAAAGCGGGGGTGAGTTCCCTGTGGGAAATGAGGGGACAGTGAGCTTAGGTGAGTGGTAGGCCATCTAGGGACTGGCAGGTATGATCATGGTAGGAACCCAGGGACAGCGGGATTATGTTCATGGGGGGAAATCTAATCCCAGTGGGGTTATGCGCATTTTGGGAAATGTAGGGGCATCGAGCTAATGGTCATGGTAGGAAATCTAGGGTGGGTGCGTGTATGCTATTAGTAGGAAATCTTTGGCAGTGGGCTTATGTTCATGGTGCTAACTCTAGAGGGAATGGGTTTTATTCATCGTAAGAAGGTTAAAAGACAGTGGGCTCATGTTCATGATAGGAAATTACAGCAAGTGGGCTTATGTTTATGCAAGAAAATCTAGGGACAGTGAGCTTCATTCATGGTAGGAAATGTTGGGGATGTGGGCTTATGTGCATGGTAGAATTTCTGGGAGCAATGGACTTTTTTTTATGGTAGGTATTTGAGGGGCAGTAACTTAGGTTCATGGGAGGAAATCTACAGGCAGCGGGCTGATCAGCATGGTAAGAAATCAAGGGCAGTGGACTAATGTTCCTGGTGGGAAATCTGTGGGTAGTGGGCTTATGTCTATGGTAGGGATTTTAGGAGCAGTGGACTTCTGTTCATGGTGGGAATTACAGAGGCAGTAACTTATGTTCATCTTAGGAAATCTACAGGCAGATGGCTTATCTTCATGGTGAGAAATCTACAGACAGTGTGATTATGTTCATGGTGGGCAATCTAGTGGCAATAGAATTATGTTCATGGTGGGAAATCTACCATGAGTGGGCTTATGTTCCTGGTAGGAAACCTAGGGGCAGTGGGAGGTTGTTCAGGGTAAGAAATCTAGGTATAGTGGGCTTATTTTCCTGGCAGCTATTCTAGGAGCAGTGGATTTATGTTCATGTTAGGAATTCTACCAGGAAGGTGTCTTATGTTCAGGGTGGGAAATCTATAGGCAGTGGGCTTATGTTCATTGTAGGAAATCTAGGGGCAGTGAGCTGTTGCTCATGGTAAGGGATCTTGGGAAAGTGGCCTTATAAATTCATGGCAGGTATTCTAGGAGGAGTGGATGCACGTTCATGGTAGGGATTGTAGGGCCAGTAATGTATGTTCGCAGTAGGAAATCTACAGTCGGGGCTTGTGTCCATGGAGTGAAATCTATAGGCAGCGGGACTCTGTTCACGGTGGGATCTAGGGGCAGTGGGCTGGTGTTCATGGTAAGAAATCTAGGCGTAGTGGGTTTATGTTTATGGTGGGAAATGTAGGAGCAGTGGACTTCTGTTCCAGGCAGGAATTCTAGGATCTGTGAATGTCTGTTCTTGCTGGGAATTATAGAGGCAGTAACTTAATGTTCTTGGTGGGAAATCTGTAGACAGTGGATTATGTTCATGGTGGACTGCCGAGGGTGAGAGTGCTTATGTTCATTGTAGGATAACTGGGGCAGTGGGCTTATTTTTATGCTGCAAAATCCGTAAGCTGTGGGATTATGTTGTGGTGGGAAATCTAGGGGCAGTGGGATTTTGTTCATGGTATGAATCTAGGGTCACTAGGATTATGTTCATGGTAGAAAATCTATAGGCAGTGGGATTGTGTTCATGGTGGATATGTAGGGGCAGTGGGCTGTAGCTCGTGGTAAAAAATCTAGGCTTAGTGGACTTAGGTCTATGGTAGGAATTATAGGAGGATGGGATTTATGTTCAAGTTAAGAATTCTAGGAACAGTGAACTTTCGTTCATGCTAGTAGTTGTAGAGGCAGTAGCATGTTCATGGTAGGAAATCTACAGACAGACTGCTTATCTTCATGTTGGGAAATCTATAGGGTATGGGATTATGTTCATCGTGGGATATCTAGAGTGAGTGCATATGTTCATAGTACGATAACTGGGGCAGTGGTCTTATTTTTATTGTGCAAAATCGATAGGCTACGGGATTAAGCCATGGTAGGAAATCTAGTGGCAGTGGAGTTATGTTCATTGTGGGAAAAAGTACAGGCAGTGAGCTTATATTCCTGGGGGGAATCTAGGGTGGGTGCGTGTATGTTCACAGTAGGAAATCTCAAGGCATTGGGCTTATATTCATGGTGGGAAAGCTATCGGAAGTGTGATTATGTCTTGGTGGGAAGTTTAGGGACAATGCTTGTATGTTCATGGTAGGAATCCTAGGGGTGGTAATTATGTTCATGGTAGGATATCTACAGGCAGAGGATTTATGTTCATGGTAGGAAGTCTATAGTCAGAGGGCTTTTCTGCATTGTAGGAAATCAGGGCACTGGGCTTTTGTTCATGGTGGGAACCTTGTAGGTAGTGTGATTATGTTAAGGTAAGAAATACAGGGGTAGTGGGTTTACGTTCACGGTGGGAAATATGGAGGCTGTAGGATTAAGCTCATGATGGGAAATCTGAGGGCAGCGGGTGTATGTTCATTGTAGGAAATCTGTGGCCAGTGGAATTATGTTCATAGTGGCAACCGAGGGGCAGTGGGACAACCATGAACAATAAGAAATCTAGGGGTAGTGGGCTTACGTCTATGGTAGGAAGTGTGGGAGAAGTGCACTTATGTCCAAGGTAGGAATTCTAAGACTAGTGGACTTTTGTTCATGGTCGCGATTATAGAGATTGTATGGTAGGAAATCTACAGGCCAACGGCTTATCTTCATGGTGGGAAATCTGTAGGCCATGGGATTATGTTTATGGTGGGAAATCTAGGAACAATGGGCTTATGTCCATGGTAGGATTTCTAGGAACAGTGAACTTATAATTATGGTAGGAATTCTAGGTGCAGTAACTTATGTTCCTGTTAGGAAATCTACAGGCAGAGGACTGATGTTCATGCTAGGAAATCCATAGGCAGAGGGCTTATGTTCATGGTAGGAAATACAAGGTCAGTGGCTCCTGTTCATAGTAGGAAATGTACGGGTAGTGGGATTATGGTCCTGCTGGGAAATCTAGGGGTGGTGGGCTGCTGTACATGGTAAGAAATCTAGGGAAAGGGGGCTTATGCTCATGGGAGGTAGTTGAGGAGGAGTGGACTCATGTTCATATTAAGAAATGTGTTGTCGGAGGGCTTATGTTCATGGTGGGAAATCTATAGGTGTGGGATTGTGTTCATGGTGGGAAATCTAGGAGAAATAGGCTTATATTCAAGGTAGGGAATCCAGAGGCAGTGGGCTTATGTTCATGGTAGGAATCTATAGACTGTAGGATTAAGTTCAGGGTGGGAAATCTATGGGCAGTGGGTTAATGTTCATGGTTGGAAATCTAGAGTGGGTGGAATTATGTTCACAGTGGAAACCAAGGGGCAGTGGGATGTTCATGGTAAGAAATCTAGGAGTAGGGGGCTTATGTTTATGGTAGGTATTATAGGAGCAGTGGACTTCTGTTCATGAGGAATTACAGAGGCAGTAACTTATGTTCATGGTGGGAAATCTATAGGTGTATGGTTTATCTTCATAGTGGGAAATCTATAGGGCAATGGTTTATCTTCATGGTGGGAAATCTATAGGTCTATGGTCTGTCTTCATAGTGGGAAATCTATAGGTCTATGGTTTATCTTCATGGTGGGAAATCTGTTGTTCTATGATTTATCTTGATGGTGGGAAATCTATAGGCAGTGGGATTATTATGTTCATGGTGGGCAATCTAGGGGCAGTAGGATTATGTTCCTGGTGAGAAATCTACAGGGAGTGGGCTTACGTTCCTGGTAGTAAATATAGGGTTAGTGGGGTTACATTCTGGGTAGGAAACCTAGGGGCTGCAAGAGGTTGTTTTGGTGGAAAATATAGGGGCAGTGGGCTCTTGTACATGGTACAAAATGTAGACATTATGGGCTTATTTCCTTGGCAGGTATTCTAGGAGTGGTGGATATATGTTCATGGTAGGAATTCTACAGGAAGATGGCTTGATAGTAGGAAATCTATAGGCAGTGGGCTTATGTTCATGGTAGGAAAGCCACGGGCAGAGGATTAATGTTTGGGGGAGGAAATCTACAGGCAAAGGACTTACCTTCATTGGAGGAAATCATGGACCGTCGGCTTATATTGGTAGTGGGAAGTCCATAGGCAGTGTGCTTACGTTCACGGTAGGAAATGGGGTAGTGTCAATGTTAAGAAGTACAAGCCCAGAGGGCTCTCGTTCATGGTCGGAAACCTACGGGCAGTGGGATTATGTTCATGGTGGGAAGTCTAGCAGCAGTGGGCCGTTGTTCACGCTAAGATCTAGGGAAAAGATGACATGTTCCTGGCAGGTATTCTAGGAGCAGTGGACTTATGCTCATGGTAGGAATTCTAGGTGCAGTAACTTATGTTCTTGGGAGGATCGCTACAGACAGAGGACTGATGTTCATGCTAGGAAATTCACAGGCAGAGGGCTTATGTTCATGGTAGGAAATCTATGGTTTATGTTCATGGGGCAAAATCTAGGGACCGTGAGCTATATTCATGGTAGGAAATGTAGGGACAGTGAGCTGTATTCATGGTAGGAAGTTTAGGGCCAGTGGGCTTATGTTCATGATGGGAAATTAGGGGCAGTGAG